AATGGGACACTCGCCCACTGAGCACTTAGCACTCAACACTTCCCAACTGGTCCCAAACACACACACACACACACACACACACACACACACACACACACACACACCTACACACGCTCGTAGAATATGTAGTAGGCATATTTTTATAGTAGCCATAAAGAAATTAGTGTTTATCTATTGACGCGTGCATATATTATCAAAGCCAAAAACAAGCATTCAAGTAAATAATTACAAAGTGGGAAAATACAACAGCTTAATAGGAAAACATTCGCACACACACACAGCACACACAGCCCATAAATAATAATTAAATGCGTGACTAATTACTTGTGTAATTTGCTATTATTAAGCAACAGCAGCAGCAGCAACAGCAACTGCCAACAACAAAAGACACCCAAACGGAAGTTGACGCCAAAATGTCGTTGTCATAATAGATATATAACTATATATTATATCGTATTTATACATATACATACATACATATATATATATATATATATATATAGATAGGCAGACAGTGCACATATGTCTTTGTCTAAAGACTGAGCCAGAGCCAGAGTCGAGTCACATAATGAGCTGGCAATATGTCGAGTTATGCTTATCGCTGGAAATTAAGTTCGAGCTGCCGCTGCCTGTAGATAAGTATTTGCCAATGCATAAGTAATCTAAGCGACAGTCGCTGTAAGTACACTCAGAAGAAAATCAACCTTCAATTTGCAAAATCCACAAAACAATTAGAAAACTTTTCTTCTTTAGAAAAATGCTCTAAGCTTGTGAAATGCATTTCTAGAAAGTAGAAAATCGTTTCTAAAATTCTGAAAATAGAAATTAAATTAAGTTAGCTGAATTTTATAAACTAGATAAATTAATTTTATATGAGAACTCTTAATAATTACGACTAACATACATAATCCAAGTGACAAAAATGTGACACCCTGGAATTTAGATATATTTTTTTTAAATTTAAAAAAATCAACCTGAAATTAAAATATGCAAGACCTGATTTTTAGAAAGCCAGTACGATTTTCTCTGAGTGTATAACTATGGGTGTTGACGATGATTAAGTTGACAACAACTGTCAACTTTGCTTTGGCGCCCGCTAACATAACCTAAACGCACTCACAGGCACACCCACACACACAAACACACACTCGCACACACAGGCACACCCACACACACAAACACACACACATATGTCGTCGCACAATTGCCGTGGCAGCTTCCGTGTTGAGGTTTTTCCCAGCTCCTTCTGCGGTTTAATGAGTCTTGATTTATTTCATTTCCTTCATTTTCGATACGACAGCGTCGACGATGCCGTCTGTGCGTTGTCACCCTGGTCTCTAATACCACCCCACACACACACACGCACACAGGCTGTGGCATATACTTATATGTGTTGGTATTCGGTAGGCAACATTCTTGATCTGGCATCTGCTTATTTACATGACGACACAAGCATTCATTACTCATGCTCAGCGTCTCCATCTCCATTTCAGACTCTGCCCCTGATTGTGGCATCTGATATGCGCCCCTGATATCTGCCCCTGTCACACTGTGTGAGCTGCCTTTGAGTTTGCTAGCACTTGCCGTTTTAATTAAGACATTGATTGCTTAATTAAATTTATTTGGAACCGCCGTTTAATGGCGACATCGCTTAGCGATTTCAAGTGTCATTTTCATATTTCAAAGGCGCACAGCAATGCCAAATTGAATTTTACCTTGATCCACATTTATTTTTATTATTATTGCGAATGAGTCTGTTCAATACATTGATATTCAGTGCACATTAAGTCAATATTTCTTAAGGCTTTAAAATATGTCTTAATTTAATATTTTGTTAATTATTATGGCATCCAAAACAAATTGAAAGCTGTCATGTTATTCAATACATTTTTGAAAGTACTGTCAATTATTATTATTATTACAATCATTATTATTCTTATTGTTGTAGGCGCATATAAATATTTCAAGTGCAATTTGTCGAACGAACTCATATTTTAGAGAGTTTGGCAAGTGAATTTTAAATTGATACACATTTATTTATGTTATTATGCACAAAACTGTTCAATAAATTTATATTAAAACAACTTTATTAAAGCGATTTTTTATTATTATACATTTATATACATTATACATTTATTTATATTATTGTGCACAAAACTGTTCAATAAATCAACTTTATTAAAGCCATTTTATTATAATTATCAGATGAAAATATATAAAATTAAAAGCTCTCAACTTAATCATACATTTATGAGCGTATTATTTATTTTTTGTTATTATTATTGCTCTGTTGTAAATTAGTAAAAAAAAATGTTCACAGGCCGTTTAGATATCATTATTATTTAGTGTTCAAGTTCATAGATGGAAGAGTCTTTGTCTACTTATTGCAGAAATTTTCCAGAATGTATTCTGCAGTCTCGACATATTCAAGACAGAGTCTGCTCACAGCATCCTCCACAATGCTGAGCTGATGTCAGTAAACATGTTATTCGAAGCGAGTTTCCACTCATATTTTGACAGTCAGTTGTACGTTTCATGTCATAACTGCTAAGCAATTTGTTGCTATTTCTGGCTCGTTTTTTTTCAAATGCACCGGTTCTTGTTCAGAAACCCCAGAAATGTGAGTTGAGGCACCCATATATAGCCCATATTTCCGCCTGGAGCATATTATATATATTGATTTTAAATTTTTAATTTTAATTCTTATGATTGCATTTAGTCTACATGAAATAAATAAATAAATAATCGACTTTCAAACTCAAGATTTATTATTCAAGATAAGCTGCAGATAAATGTATCAGTATTCGATTTAAATTCCGTAGTCAAATTATAAAATGAATAATATATGAAAAGGGGGGAGACTTAAACCACAGTCAACAATCTTTCAGGTTAACATTCGATTTGAGACGCTTGAAAGCAGCTTAAAATGGTTTATCTCAACTTTTCACCAGTACGCAAAGCATTGTCAACAATTTATGTGTGTTTATATTGCAATCAATACGTTCTCATCTTATCAGTAATGCAGCAGATTTTATTCTCATGCTCAAGAGTCTAAAGCTGTCTGCTGGTGCCTTGTTGTGAATATGCTCACAATTTGTAAATAAAAGAAATGAATTTATTTTTAGAATTCTGAGTGCTGCAAGCGCAATAAAAATAATAATTAAACGTGAAGAAGATTAAAAACGTGCATTTTATGTTGAATATATGCAAATCACAAGAATGATGGGCACTTTAAGTTAAGGCTCACTTAAAGCTCACCCACAACATTGTATCTAATATTTATCTCACACTTTACCTTTTTTCCCAATATATACATATATATATATGTATGTATATATATGTATGTTTTTTTCAATATTTACTAACATTAGCCAGGGGAATCAGAACGAGCTTTTCAATATGCGGCACTTAAATTTTATTACTGTGCACATTTGATGCCGCACTTTTATGCAACCTGTGCTGCACGTGCTTAGCTTTGCACGTCGATTTTTTCTCTCTTTTTTAGCTGCACACTGCGTATCGTTTTCTCTGCATATAATCTCCATAAAAATACATGCACATATAAACAAAATGTAAAATTCATAAAAAACAAATTTGCGAGCACGAGCACATTTTCATTTTTTTTTTAGCCTTGCAACTGGCAGTTCCACTTTAGTTCAGCGTCGCCTCGGATAGTAGTATTATATTTTGTTGCTATTGCTGTCATCTCTTTCACTCTTTCACTTCAGGTTACTCTCTCTCTCTCTCTCTCTATCTATCTCTCTCTCTCATTGAATGTCTTTCTATGCACTTGCTTTGGCCCTGTCTGCGGTTATTCTCATACTCTCTCATACAATGTTTATTTGGCTAAGCGCCGCTTGTTGTTTGTTTAGACGGTTTATTTTTTCGTTTTATTTTACTCCCTTTTGTGCGGGTGTCAATTTTATTTACTTTTTACTGCACCAACTTGACTTTTATGCACGTTTCAGTTTCCCTCTTCATAATCCACACTCCTTCCTCCCTGTTGTCTAGTCTCAGTTATGTGTCTGCTTCTATTCTGTCTACTTGTCATGCGATCTCCTATTTTCGAAATATTTTTCCCACTTTTTTTTATTATATTTCCTGACAAGTTGCATATTATTGTACAGCTAAGTCAAGCTTCGTAAAGTGAAAATTATTTTCCAAATTTTGTTAGAACATTTTTGTTTAACAAACTTTTGCCGTAATTCAAAATGCTCCATATCAATTTGTGCTTTTGGCTTTCACTGCGTGTGCTGCAATATTTATTGGAACTCCAAAATATAAATCCCTTAAATATTATTGACAAGCATCTTCAAAAGTGCAAATTTGAAATATGAACACGCAAGAATGAATAAATTTAGTAAACTGACTTAATACTCGTGTAAAAGCTAATTTTGCCTACAAAAATGATTTTCAATTAATAGTTCATCTGTCAAGAGTCTTAAGCTGTCTTCAAGAGTCTAAAGTCTGACTTCATTAATTATTTATCTAATGAAAGCAAAATAATACGAGTAAACTTACTCGTTCAGTGTGTCGAATTGCCCGGTTCAAACAAATATGCTGCCTGCAACAAAAATACGAACACATGACAAATTAAATCAAAATAACACATCAGAAAATGTGAGCCAGCTATTCATGTTTATATTATTATTTGATGTCCACAAAATAAACAGAGCTCAGCCAAAGCCCAACCACACTCAAAAAAAAAAAGGCGCCTGAATTTTAAAAGTGCACCATAGTTTTACCGCCAAGGGAAATTCTTATTATTCAGCAAGTATATTTTTAAGAACCAGTGTTTTTAATTATTAACCAAACCTATCTAATTTTTAGAAAAATATTTTCTTATATTTAGAAAAACTTTCTAGTTTTCAAGGCAATATTTCTCCGAGTGTAAGCCCAACCAAACCCAACGACTCAAATTATATAAACAAAAAGAGGGCAATAAATGCGAATCGCCCGAGGCAAGCTGCAACAGTCTCCAACCGGCAGTCAAACTCATTAGATACGCACGCGTTGCAAGCATACAAAGAGATAGAGATAGAGACAGAGAGAGAGAGAGAGAGAGAGAGATGGACATCGAATATGCCGTAGAGAATGCTCACGATGAGAACATATTGACGCATGAATTGCCGCTGGAAAAGGAGGTGAGTTTGATTTCCGTACATAGGAATCGGAAAAGGAATAGGAATCGGAATATATATATATAGGTTTGATAGATTTGGCATTTTCAGTTGTGTTTATCGTTCATGTTGTCGCTGCTGGCGATGCAGTCACAACCGGATGAAGGCTTCGATGACGAAACTCTCCTTTTGCGTGAACAGTTGCTGAGATACAAGGCCGAAGTGGATGCCCTGGATCGCAATGCCAACGATTATTACGAGAAGAAGGAGCTTCTGATCTATAAGATATTTTGTGAGTTTCGTGGCATGGTCAATGGGTCCGAGTTGCACGTGTATCTCCCCTATATAGATGAATAAAATGAGGCTGAATTTTGTTGTTGTTGTTCACAGCACACAACACACAATTCACAGTTCAGTTCAGCAGTCTTTACTTTAGCTGTGAAATTAATGCTTTTTCCATTTAAATGTACAATTGCCAGCGATGCTTTACAGAGCCAGACATAGGTGCAGGATCCACGCACCTTTGTCTGCAAAATTAATTTCAACTAGAGCCACAGGAAGCTGGGTAGGCAAAACCATTTTGAATGCCAAGCGTAATATTTAACAACCAAATAAACAAGCAGCAGGGCGTGGAGCAAACTGCTACAAGTCTCCCCCTTAAAATGACTTAACATGTCTGGCAAACTGGTTGGATTATTGCTCTGACAGGCAACGACAATATATTGTTTGTAGGTGTACAACATACAGCCTATGAGCCTGCGAGTATGCCGCATCATTGACTACATACAGGTGCCACCAAGTGGCGTGTCCATGCGGCTTATGCACGACTTGAGCAGCAGCGTAGACATCATTAGGCAAAAGCGACTATCTTCTGATGATGATGCCCTAACAGTGGGTACCACTACTATGTCATAGTAAAAGTCTTGTTTATAGAAGGCCTCTTTTCAGATCGAGGAAAGATCGTCAATAAAAATTAATTTCTTGGCTCTCAACAGACCACCTTCCACAATTAATTTCGTTCATTTTCAACTGAAAACTGGTCCAGTAACTGAGTTCTTGTTTGGAATCCTTTGTGCCATTGATAATTGTGTGCCAGAGTATTTAAACTTCGGCACTGCGCAGGTAAACGCGATTTTTGTTTTTGACTCGGATTTCTGGAATGTCTTGGCAAATTGGCCAAGGCGCTTGACTGGAATGCGACTCTGGGACTCGGAATTATCCAGCTGAACCGAACCGCATTGAACCGCACCAAAGCGAACTGAACTGAAGCTGAGCTGCTTCATTAAAATTTCTCTGCACGGAGCATGCAAACATGAGAAAACAAAAATACAAAAAATGGCAGCGACTCATTGGAATTTGTTTAATTAAGCATAGTTGCCCAACAAGTTGACATGTGCTGGGGTCCCCTCCCCCACCCCCTCTATTTACTTCACGAATTAATTGCGTAATCGAATTGAATGGAGGTTAAAACTTTAAACTAGCTGCTGCTATCAGCTGAGAATAGCTGCCAATGTTGGCTTAATTAATTATCGGAGAAATCGCGTTGTTCTCGTTGTTGGGCCCACGTTCTGTCACGCACACATGCACGCAGACGCCCTCTGCCGGGCAAATCGGATAAACCGTGCAATTAAGCACCGTCAACCCCAAACACCAACTCCCTTTCACTTTCATCCCTTTGCCCACTGCTTGGTTGGCGGTTTCTAGGTGCGTGCTGTGCTCTCAACTCGAGGACGACTCTGCCGCTTTCGACCCATTCACTCAAGTATTAATAACGCCAAAGTGTTGCGTAGCAAATTTATTAAGATGCCGTCGGCGGCAGGCGTTGCCATTGCTACTCGTTGTTGCCTCAGCTGTTGCCACGTCAAACATTCTTTTTTTGTTTTTTACCGACCCTGCTGCGTTTTTCTTTTGCTTTTTCTTTTTTCCGCCTTCTCTCTTTTTGTAGTTTTAGGCCGGTTTTGTTGGGTTCCTTGACGCTTGTGTATCTATATTTTCGATAAATTATTAACAATGTGACGTATGAGTAATATTTAAAGCTCTGCCTAAAAAAGTGAAATTACTTTCAACGCAACGGAAATTGCTCAAAATTAAATTGAATGAATTTCAATACGCCCACAAATATTTGATTAGGCAAAAGTTTGACTGCCTTTTCGCAGACTTTAACAAGAAAAAAGTAAAAAGAAAAATACCAATTTGTATACCCTAATAAATAATTGCAATAAAGTTTTGCCCAGGCTCATTGAAAAATTATCGTATAAGCGAATATGGCAAATTTTAAATATAACTTTAAGAAAATTGTTGAAACATTAAACTCAAATTCATTGATATAGCCGCAAATATTTGATTAGGCATTTGTAAGAAAAAGTTTTCCTTTCTTTCACAATCTTTAAAAAGCAGAAGAAAAGCAGAAAAACACAAAATTTTATAGCCTAATAAATAACATAATTAAGTCGTAGTAATATGATAATGTATCTTAAAGCCATTCAAATATATCCTTTGAAATTTAAAGGCAAAAGTTTTGCATCTCTTCGCATATATTGACAAAAAACGAAAAAATAAATAACAACAAACAATATTTTTTAAATTTTTGTCGGGCTTATTGAAAACTTATCTCAACTATTATATAAACAAATTTCAATACTTGAAACTCTTCAAAGAACCCCATACAATCGAATTTTCCGTTTTAAAGCATTATTGAATATTGTATGAGAGCAATTTGTCGCTCATTCTATTTCAAAATTGCATGTGCTAAATAAATAAATTGGATCTGAGCAACACAAATTATGAGTAGAACTTATTGCAGCTGGCAGACTCGCAGTCAGGCAGTGAATTCATATTTTATTTCATTCCATTCTCTGGGGTGCAATATATTCAAGCGCAATGCCACAAATCTCAACTCAGTCGACATGCATTTTCCAAAAGATGAAACTACAGTGCAATAAAAAAGTTCTGGCCACAAAATAACAGTCTGCAATGGGACGAACGTGAGCTCCATGTTCTTAATAATTTCTGTGAATTAACCTGATGATTTTATTGCCAAGTTATTTCCTAATATTTGTACCGACTACTAAAAGTACTCGTTTTCAGACATTTATGTTTGTAGTCTCCATTTACTATAAATAAAGTTTTAAACAGATATTTCAAAACTTTCCCAATAAAAAATGGCAAAAATAATTGAAAAAGTTTGGAACGGCAGATAAAAACCACTCTGACCTGATAAAATATATATATTCTTGATCAGTATTAACAGTTGAGTCGATTTAATCATATCCGACTCTTTAAAATATACGCAGATTATGTTTATTTAACTTTATCGATATAAATCGATTTTTTATAGCATTAAAAGAACACAATTGTAAATATATAACATTCCCATATATATATAATATAAACATACATATAATTTATCACATTCCCATATATATATAATATAAACATACATATAATTTATCAACTGTAAAAATATTGTGAATATCATATAAGAATGACAGACTTTGTTAACCAGAACATATTTACATATTAATCAAACCGGTTGAGCTCTCTCGTTTTAGTCTATATATTACATTTTATGCTTACTTTTGACATAGGTATTTAGTTTCCAACTATATTCCTTTGCCATACTATTTTTTAAGTATTTTTTTCTCTCCTTGCAATTCTGGCATCCCTTTGAAGTCTCATGCTGAGGGAGAGCGACATGCATCGATAACGCGTAAATTGTGAGATAAAATAACAAAAAAAAAGAAGGAAAATAAAAAAAAATAAAAATACCTAGATACCCGCTGTGGATGTGAATTTATGGATGTGGGCGGCATAAGGTCATAGTTCGGCGTACATATGTCTGCATGGCTTGGCCCAACAAATCATCATTAAATGGAACACATAGAGCAGAGAGAACGGAGCACAGCCCAGCAGAGCACAGCACAGCACAGCAATGTGGTGGACACAAGTGACTGCATGTTGGCCAGCCATAAATAATAATTTAATTATTTTATTACTTAAAAATGCAGAACAAATGCATTTTATACACGCGCTAACAATTAATGTACTAAAATTAAGGCTTAAAGTCCATAGAATAATTGCGTTCATAAAAATCCCCCTTAATGAAAAGTGGCCAAAAGTGAACATCAGCCGCCCGGTCCACAAAATCCACTGAAGCAAACAAAGCACACGACAAACAGGCGACTCCAAGTAACTGGAGCTAGGGGTAAAAAAAAAAACAAAATAACAGCAAAAACCATTGACAGAGGAGGGAATAGAGGATGAGGTGGAGCTGGAGGAGGAGCACTGGGGTAAAAGTGGAGAAACAGTAGGGCAAATGGTTTTCATTTCAGCTCTTGGCTCTTGGCGTTTGAAATGTCAGCACAGTGCGACAAAAAGGCGTTGCCGCAATTAGCACAGACCGGCAAATACACGCGATATATGCTATATATTCTATATACGGTGCACATACACTTTCAAAAAAATAGCGGCCTTAAAATGAAAGTCGCTCTGAGAACTGCCAAGGTTTTCTTGCTTATAACAAAACAAATATATATGTAAATCAAGAAGTATTTTTTCTATTTATGTAACTATATTTCTATTATAAATAAATATTTTCTTTTTTCTAAATGTTAATATTAATCATTTTTTAATTAAGAATAGAAATGCCCTGGTTTTTGGCAATATAATTTCTTAATAATAAAGTAAGCTTCACTTGCAAATCTTCTTAATTTCTTGTCAATTTTTTTCGTTAGTGTACAAACGACTAAGTGCGGCATGTGTGCGCATATATTTTGTTGGCAGAGTCACAGTCACAGTTACAGCCAGAACCATGATGCTTATTATGCTTGTGGCAAGCCTTTGAAAATGGGCTCCATTTCAACACGCACACACGCCATCTGAAATGTGTAATTCTATCTGTGTGTGTGTGAGAGTGTGTTTGTGTGTGATCATAATTGTAGTGGCTGCAAATAACAGCAGCTACACCAACAACAACACCAACAACAATAACAACCATTACAGCACAAAACAAAAGGCCTTGTATACCGTACAGTCTGCGGCAGTTGTATTCGTCCCGGTTTGCATGTGCTGCGCCTGCATGCTTAAAACTGTCAACTGTAAATTTCTTTTACCTCTTTCTATCCTGTTTTTCTTGTTGTTGCTGTGGTTTTGTACAGCAGAGTTCATGTAACCCTTAAGGCTAATACAAACACAAATGCATACTTATTGTTACAACAACAATAACAGCAAGAACAACAACAATGACAACGCAAAGCATTTTATTAAGATGTTCACTACAATTTGTAAAAAAGGGAAAAACAAACAAACAAACAAACCAACAAACAAACAGCCAGCAGAAAATGATTGGTACACAAAGGCCTTGTTTGACTAAGGTAATTCTGTGCATAGTTGACTCAAGTAGAAAATAACCTGGGGCTTACATAATCGTTTCTGAATGGAACTAA